ATGACCGCATGCAGTTGTGAGCGCCCTAAAACCTCTATTCAAACTAACCTCCCACCCCCCCTCCCTCACAGGCGCCACTTCTACTGCCACAAGTCAGCCAGTAACCGAGTGGTCAAGTACCACCTCAAGCGCATGGACATTGTGTCCGAGCTGGTACTTCCGGGCGCTGCCTGGGCTGACCCCGCGGTGGCCGGACACTCGGACATTGACCTGGCTGTGGATGAGTTCGGTGAGTTCATGGAGGTGATGCAGTGAGGTTCTTGGGAAGGTGATACAGTAAGGTCCTTATATAGGGGATTTAGTAAGGTTCTAGGGTGAGTCCATTGAGGTGATACAGTAAGATTCTTGGAGATGATACAGTAAGAATCTTGAGTGAGTCCATTGAGGTGATACAGTAGTGTTCTTGCGTGAGTCTTGGGTAAACCGGCACGTAGCGACTGCTGCTCGCTGTAATCTCTATCTCTATCTCTATATATTATATCTGTGAAAGTTCGTCACTTTGGCCGCCTAAAACTTCCGACCCACTTAAGTTTCGAATTTGACAAAATTAATGGTGATTCATTATCTTATAAAGGGTGCACAGTTTTTAATGAGAAGCCTGAAGTCACTGTAGCTAATATCAAGCCAGTCCTATTACACGTGTGCGAGGCATGGACAATCAATAGACAGCTGGAAAGAACAATTGAGGCGACAGAGTTGTGGTTCATGAAACGCAAGCAGCGTATCCCGTGGACAGCTAGAAAAACAAATGAAGAAGTCTTGGTTGAAGCAAATTGCAGACGACAGCATATGACGAATATTCGAAAGCGACAGGCAAATTTCATTGGACACACAATCTGGAAAAAAGAATTGGAGAATATTGTAACAACAGGCAAGTTTGATGGAAAGAGAAGCAAAGGCAGACAGAGGGAAAAGATACTGGACAAGTTGACAACATGGCTGGGAACAGCAAGAACAACAGACACCATCGCTACAACGCAAGACAAGAGTGAAGTGGAGGTCTACGATCGCTCACACCAGTCAGCAAGGCACCGGGTGATGACGATGATGACGGTCTGCTCAGTACCTAGTTTTGAGAAATTTGACGTAAAAGAGTTTTTGAGCTTCACAACATGTCAAGCTTCTTCGAATGCAATTCTTTGAATATCTTGATAACTACTCCGAATAATCTTACGATTTTGATAGAGCAGATAGAACATTAAATTGGTTTCTGACCTCAAGGTCTTACTAACTCAAAACAGCCAAAACATGTCAGTTAGACACCGAATTCATCACAGTCATGT